CAGACAATATTTGGATAGTAGGCATTACCCAAAATCCATCAACAAAGGAATATTACCTGGCATTCCGCGACCTGCTGTCTGTCATACAAGATTTGAATTACAAAATTAAGGAACGCCAGAAAACAAACTCCACCAGATTAAATTGGATTGACTATAAAGATCTTTATTGGGTAAATAAAGTTGCGGACGGAGGATATGGTACTATATATTCTGCTTATTGGGTAGGGTCGTCCGTTGTCGGAGGAAAACAAAAGCACGTCGCTCTTAAAAGTTTTAAAGATTCATGTAACATGATAGAATCGTTTTTCCACGAGGTAAGATTTAACTTCCAAGTAAGTCAAACACATAATAATAATGACAACAACTAATTCAAACCTTTTATTCATTGTTTAGTTTTGCGCGCATTTAAGATGTGCAGTCACTTCATCGAATTTTCTTAAGCTTTACGGAGCCACGCAGAATACAAAAACGAAAGAATACATGCTTGTAATGAAGTTTGCAAAAGGCGGTAATCTCACAACATATGTGTATAAAAACATTAACAAAATGACGTGGATCACCAAAGCGCAAATTATAGGTAATCTCGCATATCAACTGGATGGTATTCATCAAGAAGGGTTAATTCATTGTGATCTTCATAGTGGGAACGTACTCTCAAGAGAGAAAAAAATCAAGGATGCTCAAAAGAAAAATACGGGCAAATACACATGGCGATCAGCTGATACAGACAACAGTTGTGTTTTGTACATTAGTGATCTTGGACTTTCTCAACCGTACGGAGAATCTCGAATGGATGCTAAAGAGATTTATGGCGTACTTCCATTTGTCGCACCCGAACTCTTTAATACATACCAATTTACTCAAAAATCAGATATATATGCATTCGGTATAATTATGTGTCATATCGCTACTGGTGATATCCCGTTCAGAGATCGTGAATACGATAAACAACTGATGAAGTCTATCTCGGACGGTTTACGACCGGAAATACCGGATTCGGCACCCGAATCTTATAAAGAATTAGTCAAGAAATGTATCGATGCAGACGTTGATGAGCGCCCAACCGCAAGTGAAATAGTGTCGACCGTGAACTGGTGGTTCGAAGAAGAGATCAATTCGGACGACCCTGAGAAAAAACTTTTGTGGAAAAGTGTCTACCATAATCGCGAGCTTAAACCGATACCAAAGAGCAACGAGAACAAATTTACCAGCAAAATAATACCCGCCAATGTTACTGATGGATTGCATTTTTGATGGGGAGCAATATTGTTCCCATTACGTGGGTGAATTAAAAGCTCGTAAACTACAATGTTATTTCAAATATATTATCTTAATACATTTAACGTGGTAAAAAAAAACTCATAAATAAAAAAATGAATTCGTTTACAAAAAATGCACCTAAATCTCTGCGAAGTTTTAGCATTGCTAGTTCGTGTTTAAAATCGATCGACCACATCATTTCGTTCGCCGATTTCTATTTCAAAGCTTATTAACTTTTCAATCAAAGCTGTATAACAGTCTTTTATTCTAGTCTTGAGTCACTAAATTATAATACAAGAAATTGATGTTTCCTTATATCAACAACCAAATCATAGTATTTCTTGTCTTAAACAAATTTCCAGTAGACTAGAATACATTACTCAAATCTGATAATGGTTTAACATCATCATATACCATATGTCGTCGTCATCATATATCTCTTATAAAGCATGCCAATATGATGCTGAAGTGTGCATGTATTTGGACGCTTATCAGGCTCAGCATCACAACACAGCTCGGCCAGTTTCTTGTATTCCTCTGGTACGGAATCAGGCATCGTTGGTCGTAGTCCGCCCATAATATCACGTATTAAACTTTCGTCAAACTGCCTATCTTTGAAAGGTAATTCACCAGTAGCAAGCAAATGCATAATAATGCCAAAAGAATAAACGTCTGATTTCTGAGTAAATTTGCGAGTACGGAAGACTTCCGGTGCAATAAAAGACAAACCGTCTTCTCGAATGGTTGGATTTGACACGCGCAAAATTACCGAACGCGAGAGACCAAGACTGCATATGAATGAATTTATCCCATGATCATGCACAACTATGCTTCTGTCATGAAGATTACAATGTACTAATCCCACATCATGAATAGTATTCAGATCCGATGCAATATCCTTCAAATGCCGTAATTTATCCATCCACGTCAGTTTGCTAATATTTTGGACCAAATAAGACAAAAGACTACCATTGTTAGCATATTGCATAACAATCATGTACTCTTTTGTGTCTGGGTCTTGGGTGACTCCATAAATATTAAGGCCTGGACGAGAACCATGACCTTTGCACTTGGCATGATTTCTAAACTGTTAAATAAGAAAAAATACAGAGTCAAATTAATTCTTTTACCAACATTACCAATAATTACTTACCTCATTAATAAATAATTCCGGCGTTTCGCCAAAATTTTTAAACCGTTTGAGCACAACAGTTGGCGATTCACGTCTATGTTTGGCAATACAAACTGTTCCGTAGCCACCAGACCCGATTTCTTCAATTTCGTAAAAGTCGCCATACGGCATGTACTCACATTGTATAAATCTATCCAATAGTGTGTGTATGTCGTGGTAGAACACTAAATAGTATTCCCGAGTAGATGACTCCCGAGTAATCCCAATTATCCAAATATTATCCGGTGTTAATATCTCTGGGTATTTCTTTGTTAGCTGTTCGAGTAGACAAATACAGCCGTTACAACAATAATCGATATTGAACGCATGATATGCACTTATCGGTTGCATTATTTACGCGCGTAAAATAATTTACCTGATAAAAATCAAATAACCGATCGTTTTCTTTGTCAAATATCTTTTTAAGTGTCACGCGTGTCAATTCATTCGTTGTCGGTTCTAACCAATTCGCTACATGCGTGCATCCATGGCGTAATAATGTCCTCTTTTGTACGTTTGTCAATAACGAGTATTCGATCCATTGTATATACGCATCATCGTTACGCCTTGCATTATTCCATAATTCCATTATAAACGAATTCAAAGACTTGTTGCCTGTAGTCCAATCCAGAGGTCGTGGTGCTTTACATCCATAACAGAATGCATTTATCTTGGCGTATAATGGCCTCACACACGCCAGACATAATCCATCCCCATAATATACTTTTAGTAGATAATACTTTTGTTTATTTGCATTGTATGAAAACCCGATGGTAATCCAAATATTTGTGGCAAGAATGTCTGGATGCTTTTCACATAACTAGGTAAAATGATACATAATAACATGTCAATAATTATTTAATAAACATGACGCATAATTAATAAGTGAATAGTCACCCTATCATAGCACGAATTATCTGTTTCACCAGTTATCTCGAGTGGAATCAAGTTAACATATGTACGAGTATACATATATCCTTTCCAGTATCCAGATCCATATTCCCTGTCGCTAATACAATCGTCTGGAATCCACACCAAATAAGCATCATTTGCTGAGTTTGTTTGTAATTGAGATTTTTTAATAAGGTCATCGAGTTGCTTATTGTTGCTAGTCCATCCATCGGATAATTGTTTATTGCCACAAATGCACCACACGGGACTACATCGGAGTATTCCACATGTGGAGCAAAAGCCATAAAGAGAATAACAGTGGTAAAAGCGTTTATCAGCAACCATGTAATAGTTATCGTCATACTTGGTAAACCCCTTTATGAGTTTGTTGCGACGTTTAAGCCATACGGAGTATCGTCTAAAGTTATTGTCGTTGTTATTGTACTTGTGTGTTGGAAGTGAGTATATTCTAGCAAACTCACTCACGAATGTTGGTGTGCATTCTTCGCTACTTCCAAGTAATACCAGCGTTATTGTATCATGAGGTTTGCAAATAGCGTAGGAAACGTTATCCATTGGACTTGACTTTATTTGGGTAATTTCTGAGTTATAAATCCATTGAACTTCGTATCCACTTTCTAAAAAGGCCTGGATCAAGTCGTTCATATTCATTGTTGGGTTACAACAGTTGTGACAATTTACAAATTATGGTTGCATAAAACAAGTCAGCTGACTGATATACGATTATTATTGGTTTTTCGCGTTTAAAAAGACTTCCAAGGATGGCGTGTACATACTGTTACGAACAAGCCGCACCGATGAATTGGCCGCAGCAAGTCATGAGATAAAATCTTCCTCCGCAGTCCGCAGTCCGCAGAGCTGAGCTCATAATTCATGACGCGAAATTGAGCTATGTTAGCCCATCTCACGTTGAATAATGAATGTTGAATGATGTTGAATATTGTATGATGAATGAATATTGTTGTTATACTTACTGTATATTACACGGAAATTGTTCTTATCCACGGAAAATTTTAATTCCCTTTAAATTACTTTCTATCATTGATCGTCGAATTATCGTAATTATTAAACAATGGACAATACTTGTTGCCTACAGTATTTCGAGACTGTTGTGGTGATAAGGTTGAGTAACGGGCGAAGAACTAGTGAAAGTTTTTCCGTTCAGTTAGTAAAGAAAGCTTACAGTAATTGGATAATATTTGGCGAACGACATTTATTTTTTTGTTCGTTTAATTAGCTATAAAATTAAAAGTAACGCATATTGACTAGTCAAATACCAATCGAAGCATCGCCCTGTTTATTAAAAAAAAAATATTTTTCTTCGATTCTATAGAATAATAGTTGCTAATATTATTCGTAGATTCCCTTGGATACGAACGTTGGACTACGTTACGTAAGGAATTAGGAAGCGCGCATAATTAATTAATAAGAAACGTCACTGTAGCTTAGCATTCAGTCTTCGTTGATACTGTCGCTGTAGTCAGGGCAGCGATAGCTGAGCTAATTGAGTCAGATGCCCCTGTCGGCCGAACCGCTTACAGTTCGCTCTCTCATAAATCTCCCTAATTAAATAGTCTTAACGGATACTACAGTGTTGAAAAGAGCAACAAGAACTCAGCAAAATTCAAAAGCGCTATAGTACGCTAAATGCACAATCCTAAGGTTTTGTAAATGCATTATTATTATGTAACCTGATCTGTTAAGTCAGCTTGATTTTATGTGGAATCTTCAAAAACTTTGATAGATTTTACACTATCACGATCCACAAATATTATGGGCAGAGACTTGTCAGTAACTTCCTCATTATCTTCATTGTTAAGTTTCTCCTCCATGATTTGCTGGAAAAAAAAGAATTCCATAGCTTGAGCCATCCACCTATTACTAATGGCACAGATTAAAGCAATGGATGGTGGATCCAGTAGCACCAGCAGACGTCTGAAAAAGAAAATCAAATCTAACAAAAAAACTTTCTATTGCTGAAATCACAGCACATCTCTCTGTCAAGAAACTTATCTCAATATGCTTGGTATTGGTAGGAGAAAAAATTTTAAAAAAGAATGAGTCACGTGGAGATTACATAAATCATGTCAAAAACAATCGCGAGCTTGCAAGGGAGGGAGCAGTCCTGCCCTGAAAGGCGAAGACTGTCCCTATTCCTTGGGCTCGCTCAGCTATTAACTTTCGCAATCCTCCTCGCCATAATCTCTCCTTTCGTTTTCTATAGTATTGCGCCTCGGATTCGTTTTGCGCTTGTAAAAGTTCTCCAACGTACAGTGTGACACGAAATTATTGATAATAAATTTAACGCGATTCAAACGCGAATATCTCAACCAATTTGGAACCAAAACGCGTCATATAAAAAATAAAAACAAAGTATTGATTCGCGGTAAACATTAAATTCCCTTTTATTCCTTCTTTAACTTTTTTACTTCCGTAAATTTTTAATCCAAAATGACTGCAACCGACCTTGAGACACAACGCCAAACCGTATTACATTATTGGAACCAAGGTGTACGTTCTGCAAAAGAAATACATACTCTCACCTTGATTCCCATCCCAACTATCTATTACAACCTTCGAAAGTTGAAAAAAACTGGTACTGTAAAGCACAAGAAGGGTGCTGGTCGTTTCTTCAGGAAAATGTTCCTAAAGTTATTGATTGGCCTTATAATAGCCCTGATCTTAATATCCCATCGAAAACCTCTGGAATCTTGTCAAAAAAAAATGTAGAAAAACGCATGCCAAAAAACTGTGATAAATTAACTGAGTTTATGGTGGAGGAGTGGAATTCGATTCCGAAAACTATGTTAATTAATTTAGTTAATTCGATGAGAGATAGATGTAGGCTTGTCATAGAAACAAATGGAGAACGAATTTTATATTAAAATTGTTTAAATAAATGTACTTTTTTAAGCTATCAAACGAGATATTAATGATAATGATTGGTACAGTCGTTGGCTGGCAATAACCCTTTTTTTCATTATCAATAATTTCGTGTCTTAGCTATGCTTAATAAAGGGTACGGTTTACTATACAGTTTGAGCATGATACAAACGGCTCCCTTATAATCGATGCATTTATCTAGTTCAATCTCAATAATCCATTTGTTGCGTTTGTGATGTTTTGTTCAACCTCACAGTTTCGACGACTTGATTTCCTACACTCGGACGGGAAATTACATAAGGAAAAAATTGATAAATGTGTGGAAATAATAGACAGTCTTACTCATCCTCAATTGGCAAAACTAAATAAAATTCTTGAAAACAATATATGATATTAAAGAAGGAACGTTTGCCCTCACTTCTAGCCAAAAAGGTTGAAGAACAAAAAGCTAAAGCCGAGTATATTGAGCATTGCTAAAGATAAATCAATTAGTCCTATCAAAAGTACCTTAAAATAGCGTAGATTCTAACTTGTTTGAAAGTGTTCGAACATTAAACATTTTGATGTTTTCGATATTTATTACGAATAAGTGAGCTCCGAAAGTATAACGTTTGATTCTTATTCACTGCAATGTTTTAAGCCACTAATCTTTATATCGAGAAAATAATTGCTTCTTGTCCCGCGATTACGCCTGTAACGTGCACAATAACTAATTAATTCCAACACTCAGAACGAATTAATTTACCGAGAAGTTGACTCTGTAGATTGCATGCATATGGTATTTATCGTCTCCTACTAATATTAAATTGTCACAAATAACCAATAAGAAAACTATTGACGTGCGTTCCTTGTTAATTTTATTAATTAAGATATTTTTGATACATGGCGCGTGACGGGGTCAATATTACTAACATTAAGACTTCTTAAATGCTTCAAATATCTGTGACCTGGCGGCGCTAAGCCGAGGCCAATATAAACAACAACCGAGTAAAAAAAGTAATTCAAAGGAATCAGTCAATAAAAATTATCAAACAATTCTAGTACTTTTAGTCACAAACAAAATTTTCCACCTTTATTGTTAATAAATACGCGCTTGACCAAAAATAATTAAACTTTTTGCTAATGTCACGTTAAACCAGTTTCTTTCTTCTATAAAATCGCTTCCCATAAACGCATGATCCAAAAGCTTGTACTTACGGAGGGTTTACCGTATTTGTATTACTACAATTTATTAGTCGCTCATAGACCTGTTCACAGGCAGGCCGGTTATTTGGTTCCTCATCCCAACATTCGGAATACAACTTAACATATTCTTCAGATGTTCCAGGAACTGGAGGATCTCGAAAACCGTCCATTCTATATATAATGATTGCAGCACTCTCAGTGCGCCCTCCACATGGGTTTTTTCCACTAGAAATTTCCCATAGTATCACTCCGAGGCTAAAGATGTCGGATTTCTTTCGACGCTTATATTCCAAGTTTCTGAAACATACTGGATCCCTATACGCTGGAGTTCCACCACGTGATAATGACATGATTTCCTTTAGTACTGTCGACAAGCCAAAATCGGTTATTTTTGCGATGCCCGATTGGATAAGGATATTGTTAGACGTCTAAATTAACACAAAAGTTTGATATGTAAATAAGTGTAACTTCATTAATATTAACCAAAAATACAGCTAGCATTTGAAAGTACCAAATCCTTGTGAACAATCTTAAGCTCATGCAGATATTTCAACCCACTAGTAATTCCCAGACCTAAGTTATATTTGTCGCTCCAAGTTAAATTATTAAAGTGTTCTCTCAAGTAGTTGTACAAAGTTCCACCTTCGGCTAGTTCGAATATCATATGATATGTATCTAATTTGTCTGTATCAACGAAAAATTCGTAATATCCATATTGTAACTGTTGCCAACTTCTCGTAAACATACTAGTCAATCAGATAACCATGTATTAACATACCTTTGTATAGACCCAGAAAACGAATAACGTTAGGATGATCCTTCACTTGCTGATGGTGTTTTAACTAACGCCATGTTAAATATCAGTCTCTATCACACTTATGAGCGCAGGTGGTATTTAACAATAATACGATTTAGATAACAAACCTCTTTGACAAAACTTCGGTACAGATCTTCCTCATTATTGCCGTCATGTTTAGCCGGAATCAACATCTTTACCGCAACAGTCATACCGGACAGGATGTTCTGTTTTCCACCCCAAATCGCCCTGGGAATTATACTGTTTTTCTGTTTTACCGTTGCCTTGAATACCACTCCAAATGTCCCTTTACCGATATACGAGGGGTCTAATTTTATGTCACTTTCTGGACAACAATAGATTGAACCTTCCCGAATGCTTTCTTCTAGCCATCGTTTGTATGAACTGTTGGACATTTTCGATTGTTAAAAAGAACAGAATAGCGACAGACGGATGCGCACTCCGATAACTGTCACACACTTTGGTTTGTTAGAATGTTGTACTTATCAATTGCATAGTAGATCTTCACCATTTTAATTTCATGTGTTTTCACTTATCGAAATTCAATTATAGTCTGAGAGACCTGTAGTGATAATATCATATCCGCATAAATAATAACCACCGAAAATATTAACAGTTAGCTAGGATGATCTGGTTGCGACGCCTTGAGCTTTCTAATAATATAACAGGAATCGATGTTAAACTGATCATTTGATGTCACCATAATGGCAGAATGGAACAAAAATATCCGAATATAGAGTATGAACAGGCGTATGACATAGGTTATATTAAAAAGTAAGAGGCAATAAATGATAACGTTATTGAATTAAATGCGTTTATATTTATAAATGAGACGGCAGATGTCGTAAGCGTTCAATGTATATTTGTTATAAATCGTTGTAAAATATAAGCCAAATCAGCTGTTAATCTAAATATTTTCACTTTAGCGTATTTGTGAAAAATTACCATAACTATATAACAGTCACTAATACTATGATCTAAGTCAATGCGCATATTTGTTCAAAGAATATGGAAAATTATCTGTGAGTTGCTTGACGTTATGAAGAGTTTAATAAAAATTCAAAATAGGTATTAATGGGAAAGTTTTTGTTTTGAGTTTTGGTTTATAGTTTTTAATATCATGTCTTTGTATTAAGATAAGTGTACGTTACATACTAATACCATGAATAAGTTGTAACCTTAGGGATATTTATGGAGTAAGTCTCTACTTGCTGTATTAAATACGTTTCAAGCAGACAATATGTAATTTTGTTTTGCAGGATTATGTTCGATAACAATTGAGTTTGAGAATGGCGCTATAGTATAGAACAACCACTTACTGAGTTGATCAATTGTCTATTGTTCCCGCAGTAAAAAAGACGCCAAACTTTCACCGATTGTGGCATTTATGCCCGAGAATGATAAATATATTGTTCAACAACGATTACTCAGGACAGAGACATTTCATACCCAATAAATCGTACATACCATCACTATTGACAGTGACAGCTCCTCAATACCGATATGTATATTGAATTCCCGAGTAATTAGACATCGACTTTTATTATTGAAAAAATGTTGGCATTATAATTAGTGAGGATAATGATAGCGGTATTTTATTCCTTAAACTGTTTTCGGTTCAAATTTGGATCGTTTATATCTCCCATATTACCCACTCATATTGTTTGGTAGAACCGAAACTATAGGTCACAAAAGCATTGCGTTTTAGTATCGCAAACTGGGTAATACTAACGGATGATCTGTAAGAAGATTTCTAAAAACCGTGAACGTAATGAGAATTTTTTTGTTGTGGTTATGCTTTCTGGTTTTGTTATTATGGCATTGTCGGTCTAAATAAAGTGTTAGATTAATTCTCTAAACGTCTCGAATATGAGAAAAAAAACTTGATCAGAAAGTAAACATAAGCTTCGTTGCAAACAATAATAGTAGTAGCTAATTTTTTAAGGC